GGTGATAAAATATGTAATCCGACATTTTGTGGCGGCCGCCATCTTGGATCGATTTCCATCAAAGTGAAGAACACTCCCGACTAATACACCTTTCAAACAAAATCAAAATCGGTTCATCCGTTCGGGAACTATGATGCCACAAAAAGCACACACACCACACACCACACACACAGACACACAGACATGTCAAACTTATAACACCGCGTCGTTTTTGCGTCGGGGATTAAAAATATATTGAATTTAGAAAAAGTTGTTTGATATGCGGATCTCCGATAAATTTGATATCGATCGAATTGCATCGAGCCATAAGTCTAAGTTAATCCTCATTACGTAAGTCAACTTCTAGTGAAAGTCTCTTCAAAATCGGCCAAGCCGTTTCAGAGATTAGCCAGAACTAACAGACAGAAAGATAAAATATATTATTTTTGTATATGTACCATGTATACACACAAATGTATTTAGTGAAAAGCGGTTATTTTAATATTACAAATATGCACTCCAATTTTTATGTACTAGTATAAGTCTATTGAGAGAAGAAGTACCTTGCTTTATTTGCATTTCTTAATATAAATATATATTTTAACTTTCTTATACAAATATACCTAGGGGTCTTTCGACCTATGCTGAAAATAACAAATGTGTATTAGAAATAATTCAACAAGCTATATAAATTCCATATAAATCGAACTTCGTGACCAAAGTTGGAAGTCCCACTATACTGCTCTATTTACGCTCGCTCGAACGTATCTAGATCGAAAAATGGCGCGAAGAAATGCGACACAGGTCTAACGTTGAGGAGCGCTCGCGCGGTACTGAGCTCAGACGGCCGCTGCATCTTATTTTGTAGTGATTTTGCGTCTACATTTATCGTATTTATTGAAATAATATAATAAATTTATGCTTTAAATTTATAATAACTTTGTTCCTTATGAAATAGGCATTAATCTGGTATAAATTTTGTTAAATAATATTGTTGTGGCTAAGAGAAATTCAAAGTTAACTTCAAGCAATTTTTGATGTTTTTTGGTTTGTAATATGATTGTTTTTCTATATTTAATCATTGCTATTTCAAAATTTCGAGCTACTGTTTACTTTACGACTATATAAGAGATATCATTCTATTTCTTTTATTTCGTTTGTTAAGAACAGTAGCTCAACACAGGACTTCAAAAAAGTGTCTTTGCGCATTTTATGAAAATCTTTCTCTGGTATTTTGGGTTTAATTAAAAAGATGAGCAAAATTTCCAAAAAGTTAAGCCACTTTTTTCTATACCAAGAGTTATTCTTCACTATTCAACAAGTCAAAATTGTTAATTTGTTTTTGTTTCCGAGAAAAATCACGCAGAAATCACAGTTGAGATGTAATATGGCTCTTAACATTAAGTATCTCTTTGGGTGCGAGTGAGTAGGTAATTCTTGATAAAGGACTGTAGATACTTACAAGAAACAGATCAAGGTCTTATCGTACTTCCTATTCTTTGTATTCCCCTAATGTTCATTACTTTTGTGGCAGATTTCTTTTGTGCGTTCAATGATTTCGAAACTCATTTATTGCGTTCTTGTCTGGGCTCAAACCAGACTTATGTTTTTGTGATACCGACGACAGGATCATACACATACCTATATACTTAAACGGAGTTCAACATTTAAGTTACAGTTATGTTTATTCCTATACTTAAAATATTCTCTATAGTGTACGAAATTACAAGTTTTCTATTGATGTTAATTGCTCCCTTTAACAATACTCTGATCTGTGTGCACTGTAAATTAAGTAAACACTCAATAATTTTCAGGAAAGAACATTTATTAGGTAAAACTTCACCCTTGAGTAGCGTAAAATCAACAGGAGAAAGAAATGCTGCAGTAACACACTTAACGCCCCTACTTTATGTACAGTCAATAGCGAAACAGGTTGATAAAAAACTTACTCCAGTTGATTTTAATCTAAAATAAAATTACTGGTAAAGTTTAAAATCTATTGCAAAAAATAAATCTATAAAATCATCAAATATATTAACTAAAGCAGTTTTGACCACCTCCGATCGGTTTCAAGTTGTCGCCATCTGAGACCCTGGGTTCTAGTTCCGATCGGGATGAATATAGAAAATTAGCTTTTCTCGCATCGGGTCTAGTTGTTGTGTTACCTTCATTCTTTCAGAATTCCACAATACAAGTGCTTTAGTTTCTTCTTATGTATGTGGTGTTGTAGTATTGTATTTAATGGTATATGTACACACATTAAAGACGTTTTGACTTATATGCTTCTATACATAGTGTATTCAAAGGCGAGGATATGGATGAAACAGACAGTGTTATCAGTAAGCTTACATAAGATAAACTGCTAATATTTTAAGTCTTGAAAAAGTATATTTAATAAAAAAAAATATATTAATTTGTAAGTCCTGTTAAGTCTCGGGTAGGTCAATGGTTTGAGTAATTGCCCGGATTGTGAAAGGTTTTGGGTTAGTCCCATCTCGGGGTACGCAGGTAGTTAATAATTTTTTTAAGCAATTTTCATTTATAAATAAATTTAGTAAATTTTGCCTCTGAATAGAATAGTTTTAATTAAAGTTATTATGCCGATTTTCGGGTCTAGAAGTACAGGTAATCCAACCCTCCTGCCGGTGATTATATCAGTCCAAAATGATCATGAATTTACTTCACCCTATCAATTCCTGTGTTCAGCAAGATATATTTACTTTCACCAGGGTCTGTCACCGGATGGGTTACCAAAATATCAATATCTCGAGCTACTCCGTGCTTCGGAAGGCAGACGAAGCGGTTGGTCCCGGCTGCATTTGCAGTCTTTAATACCGTCCAATCATGGCTGAGGATGATGATGAAATGTTTCTTGGGAGTTTTAAAGGCAGGTTTATTTGAAATAAAGGCATATTTGAAATAAAACATAACAAATCACATATTCAGTTGTTTATTATCTATACTGTACTCAAAATTGATCCGAAGATCACATCACATAGTAATTTCATAAATAATATTACAATGTCATGTACTTTCTGTGATTGTTCGTGAATAAAAAAATTTCATAATATTTTATCAATACTTTGTTCACTGGACCGGTTTATCTTTTAAAGTAGATCGTCGGTACTTACTACATTATTAGGATACCATAGGTACTCAAACAACTTACAGTGTATTTGATGAAAGATATTATAATAATCAATGATTGTGTTGCAGTTCATTTTTTTTGTCAATATATTTACAGTTTTACATTTTTTTTGTGATTTACAAATAAATTCTTGAATAATTAATTAGGTCATCATTATTCCATTTGGATTTATAATAACAGTACTTTATAGTTAAAAATATCACAAAAATGAAATATATTATGTGTAAGACACACGCAACATTAAAAATACAACAAAAAGAAAAATATAAAATCCACTAGAAACCTCGGGCCAGAAGAGTCCCTTCTAAACAGGAAGGATACTTTCGATGTTCAATCTTTTATAACGGCAATTTGATACCATAATTATTATTATCACACTAATTAATTATAAAAGTAATCGATTGTCTTACAATAAATGCGTCAGATCATAAAATTTTGATTATAAAAATTATAGGCAACAAATAATTTCGTGAAACGATAAATTTTTAACAAAAAAATAAAATGACAACTTATATATTTAAGAGTCATCGTGCCGTATTGATAAAAGTGAACTACTCACTAGCACGGGACCGACAATAACAACCAACATAAAACAAACGCAACGAGTTCCTACCGAGTTTGACTCCGATTCCGATATTCACCTTTTATCGATATGGCATACCACTTACGTTACGACAATAAATATAACACGCTTACACATTAATCACTTCTTTAATTCCGACGCTAGGAATTATTTCATAATATATACCTAAAAATATAATCACGGCACAAGTATCCCTCCGACTAAATTACTAACGTAGTGTCACTTTATCAGGATTTAGAATCAAATATGTATTATGTATCTTAAATATTTCATTATTAATATATCATTATCAAAATATCCACTAAATGGGAGGAATAAATCAAATTATTAATATTTATTCTAACATTAATCGCATGACTGATCAACAAAAAGGATATGGACTAGGAATAATATTAGGCTTTTAGGCTTCCATGCCCTCGGGGCGCGCGCGCCGCGGCATCTTCAACTTTCTATCGTTGACATAAGGGTGTAATTTGAATGGAAATTCAAAGTTTCACTTATACGTCAGAGATCATATCATTACATATAACATATCGAATTAGAACACTTCACTTAAGGCCCTTATCCGAACTAACTGCGCCGCCGTCCGGCGCACGCGTCCCCGCCTCACCTCTCTATCCGCATATCACCTCTACATACATACGTCAAGATAAATTTGATCAAAACGTTAATACTGTTTGTGTCGAAAACAATATAGGTAGCTATTTCATTATGCTGTACTCACCGAGAGGTAATCGGACTCGACCGTCGGTAATATTTTGTGCTTCGATAGACAGGAAACGATAAGTAAAAGAATGATTATCTAGCAAAATCTATCTGGAATAAAAGCCGACGTTCTATCCTATAATTTAGGTAAATAGCTTGGAAGTATGCCTTCTTCGTTTCAATATTGTCCGATAACGTTCATTGTATTACGATTTTTATTTCTGTTCTCTATCACTCTACGAGTGTCGTGATCTATGCTAAATGTGAACTAGGCGACGCGATGTGCGAACGGGATGGTTCCAAATGGGAAATTGCGCGCCCACTCATCTATCTAGCTTGCAGTACGCACCGCGGTAGCGTGCGTTCTGATTGGACAATTGGGTTTGTCGATAAATATCAACAGATAAATATATATATCAATAGATATAATTTATAATATTGTTGAGCATTGAGTCTCAGCTAGAAAATTAACCAACCCGGTTTGAATCTTACTTAATAGAAATTTTGGGTTTTCCCCTATACGCTACTGGAAATCCTCTCACGCATACAGTACTTTTTAATTATTTTATAATAAAACAAATTTTTGATTTAAAATATCAAATATATCAAATAAAGTCATGCATGATATCCGATATATATGATGTAATATTATTATGTACCAGTGTTTCGTGCTTATCCACCGAGTTAAATATACTGAACAAGTTTTGCTAGAACAGCAACACTAATTTTACGATAACAAAATCAGCTGTTTCATACAAAATTGTAATGCCTACAATTGCCAACAGTATGAAACAGCTGATTATTATTTTATTAATTCAGTGTTGCTTTCCTAGCAAAATTAATTCAATATACCTCACTATATCCTCGCACATAATAATTGTACTATTTGTTCTTTGTGTTAGTGTTTCCTATTGTTGGTGTTTATGTACAATAAAGAATTATTCATTCATTCATTCAGATAATAATCCTACACCTTATATATCTGACAAATATCAAATATAGGATATTTTGATATTTATTTTTAATGTCAGATTTCTGCGAACCCTGATTGATAACCGTCAGGACGTACTTGGATGATAACGCAGTAGCTAGATAAATGAGCGTGCGGAATAAGCGACAATTGCCGCGTGTACGATCGACGTCGCTCGAGCTCCGGCGTCAAAAGTTTCCAGTGCCGAACGAGATAAGCGGCTACACTATTGGTGTTTCATTACTGATTCACTTAATCTAACCTAGTGTAAAACTTGTCATCTAGAAAGAAAAAAAAAACACATAATAATATTTCCATCGTAACGTATATAAAATAAAAAAAAGTAAAATAATTCTCACAAAATGCTCACATTAGGAGTGGGGTGATGCAACTTTTGACACCGGCCGTAGCCGTCGGCGGATATTACACCACCCGTAACATTATATCGCTTATATACAACAAATTATCCGTGCTGCGCCAAACGGCGGACGCACCGATCTTTACAGGAACTCATATCGTATCTTAATAAAAAAAAAAATATACAATAGTAATAAAACATTTGAAACCTCACTAACTACTATTCGACGATCTCGGTACGATCTCGATAAAATTACTCAAACGGCTCCGGCGAAATCTATTCATATCACATTCGCATGACCGTGCCTGAGAATCATATCCCGCTACTTATGTACACACTCTTTCCCGAAGACTAACGCGACACGGACGGGGCGGAATCGCCCCGCCGCTACACTAACCGATATTCACTAAGATATCACCGCCTCGGCTAACCTGCCTTTCCCGAGTGTGCCAGAGGCGCGATCGATATGGATATAATGGGCGCGGGCGAGGAAACTACCGGGGAACGAGGGTCCGGCCGCTACCGGCACAGGAATGGACTGCATTCACATATCTAGACGAACATAGAACCGTTCCAAACAAATCATCACCTCTCCCCGCCACCGAATCTTATCAAGTCTCTTCTATACAAAAACAAAAATAAAAATATTATTCCATAAAAAAAAACATACATACAACGATTATTTTTGATCGTTCATCATAATAAACGCGAGCGGTGCGCGTTCGTCATCAATTTGTTCCACTATATTCGTCTAGCAGGATGAGGACAGGGATGGAGTGGGGCGTGGGGGAGTGGGGGCGTGAGGGGGAGTGTAGGGGAATGGGGGATGTGGAGTTAGGGGGGTCGCAGTGCAGGCGGCAGCTGCACGGGGATGTGGTAGTAGCGGCAGGCGGCGCGACGACATGAACCCGCCGCCGCATCCCGACACACCACCACGCGACTGCCAGCCACCTGCAGCCCGCACCCTGTAATATGACAATACGGCCCTGTAGTTTACAGTACTACATGATAACGCATACATTGTGCACAGGACACGCGGTATCGTGTACGAATGAAGGTTGAATACTGTTCGTAAAAATCACACATCACTGAATAATATTACAGTGTACTCATAGAAGTTTATATCAACTACACTACAAATATAGCTATAATAACGTACGTAATCTTGTTATAGTGAATATAAGGTGTAATATAATTATGTGTGACGATATCATGGAATGGATGGGTTAAATATACTGAACAACTTTTTCTATGGCAGCAGTTCATGAAAAAACAGCTTTTTTATACTGTTGGCGATTGTAGGTGTTACAATTTTGTATGAAACAGCTGATTATTTTTTTGTTAATTCAGTGTTGTTGTAAAAGTGTTAAGTATATTTTAACTCATCCACCCTACGAAGTCCCGGCAAATAATAATTTTACACTTTATATTAGTAAAATTATAAGGTAATGTTTTAAAAATGAAGTTTTCAAGTGAACAAACTACCAAATTTACAAAATAACCAAATCTAAAATTACTAAACTCAATACCTATTTATATTAAATGACGACACATTTAATGACTTCAACCTCCATAATGATACACAAAATTAAAAAATATCTACGAAATCTTCATATTAACAAAATTCGACACAAAAATTAAAGCATGCATTTAATATTATAAGAATAAATAGTATAAAATATCAACTCTAATATTTTTATAGTTACATATATTAATTCACTATATTGTTCACTAAACAAATTACTAAACTACATTTTACTAACTGAAATATTAAAATCTACCCCTAAACTTCTAAAGACAGGTGCTGTTATTGGGAATATTAGAAATCGTCATGCAAACACTAGGATGGATTGGGATGGCACATTTATGTCATATGTCATTAAGTCATTATGAATCGAAGATATGGCATACTGAATATCATGTTTATTGTATACAATATCACAACATGCTTACAATTACGTGCATTTTAAGTTTTTTGGTCAAATGTCATCTTTTGTAACCAAAGAATCTATTTATTACCTCTGTTTTGCGGTCTCGTATCAAGTATGAATATATAACTTACTGGAACGCGTAATATATTAATTAAGATTGACTAACAAATCGCACTCCTCAAATTGCCGGACATTTTAAGGACACATACGTTTACGTTTTAAGTTTTAAGGATACATTATAATATAGGCGAGAGGTTCGGTTTCACCACGAGAGTAAAATAAGTGTCTGAAAACCAAGTACACATAATTGACTATCCGTTATCGACATATGAGCTTTATTATGTCGTGATATTTATGATTAAATATCAATGTACAATCGAAAAAAACATATGTGATTAAGGTATTGCACTCTTTTCATTGGACATTGAAAAATCCACAAAAAGGAATTCCATTATATCACTTTTTAAACTTAAATTGAAGTCTGAAAATTCCGATGCAAATGACATGGGAAATAATTCGATTTACACAGGAGAACAAAGAGCATGTCCGGAGTTTTTTATGGATAGGCCTATGGACTATGCGGGACAGAGGTAATTATAATATTTACAACGTGACGTAATCACAGCGAAGAACAAGAATATATCATTTAAGTGGCGTATTTAAAAATTGATATTGAATCTCAGTTATGGGTTATTGGTAATGTGTCTAAATATTGCAATGGCAGTTCGGAGCGTTCGTAGTGACATTCAGATGACTCTTTGACGAGAAAAAATATAATTGAACTTAATATTATACACTAAAGCTATACAGAGTAAATTGAAAATTCTCTGGCGACATATAGTACAACTTAAATAGCACGTATTGTATACATTGCAACGATTTATTCGACAGAAACTTTAACGATGTGGTAAAGAGATCACAACGTACCTTCACGAATATGAACAAATCTGCATGTCGGTCTGGTACATCCTTGTCGATTAAAATCTTGGCACACCGGGAGGGTGTCCAGTAACTGTAAAATATAATAACGTCTCGTGTTAGTATACATTGTAATGACTTCCCTTTGAACCGCCACACAGTTGCTTTCGTATTTCAAAATAACCATCTTTCTAAAACGAGATATCTAACTTTCTTATTGCCAGTCTTTTCTTTATTTCTAAATAGCTTTTTATGAATAAAAAATAACTTCTTCATTGAAGTAGAAAAGCACTCAATTTAAAACACTTGCTTATAGTATCAATGAACACAGTTAGCAACAGTTAGCAATTGCATCTCGTGTATAATTGGGCCGATTTATACATAAAATATGCTAACAACTGCGTGACATGTTCATATAGAAAAAAAAAATATTTTCATAAACAATCGGAACACTAAAGTTTGTCTTTACAATTGTGTTATGTACAAATAGTCCGACGGTTTGTGAAAGATTTCTGTTAATGTGTTAATACTAATTCTATATCATCACTTCTTGAACATTCATACATCTGACACTGAACATTATCCTCATTGCACAGCCTTCTGGAAAACGCTGGAACAGTTGTTGTAATATCAAAGAGCATAGCACTAACGACGACCTCATGAATATTAATAATATTGGAGACACGGAGCTCTAATGGTTTTACGTTAACGACCCTTATGTTATTGACAGTAGAATCTATAATTCAATGCGTGTGTAGTTTCTCAGTGGCTACATAGATATTAAATTAACACAAAACGGGACACACGAAAGGCGAAATTGCTCGAAACAAAATCTCATTTGCTGCTTTAATATTACAAGAACTTTACAAGATTTGTTGCACAATATGATTGGACTTTCCAAGCATTCTTTCATTTAACGTGCGCGCCGAATCGATATGTGTGTCACCTTAATATTGTATCCATTGCTGTTGCTGATCGAAATTAACTTCTATGTTACGAGCCCAAATGAGTTAATCTTAATAAATCGTGGTTCCGTTACCGTCAGAGAGTAGTGTTAAGATATGCTGCACTATGCACATAGTAGGTATGAAATATATAATATCTAAATGGCATGCAGAACGCTTGAAGTATAATCATTATTGCGCAGCCAATCTCATATAAGCGTGACTATATTTTACAAAAAAGCTTAAGCATGATGCTAGACAACTTTAACCAGGACGAGAGGGCGTTCTATAGGTTTTGTAGCGCCAAAGTGTACCCAATAAATACCAACTGTTGCTGCTATAATAAAGCTAAAGAGGCTGTGTAGGGGAGAGTTTGCGACATGTGTCTGCGCCGGCTGTGATGATATTCAGACAGTACTCCATATTTTATTTCTCAACAGAGGTACAGAGGACGGTCATGCTTATTGATAATTAGGCATGGTTTAATAATGTAAATAGTCAAATTAAATTTATACCTTTAGCTTACATGACAGTTCTGGACGTGACATGTTAGTGGTAGTACAAACTGCAACATAATGACCATTAGATAGTGCGGTTACTGTACGACAAACAAAAGAAAACCTATAAATTACATCTACGGTGAACACTTAAAATAAAGCGTCAGATAGGCCTCAACGAGTTGAAAGCGAGGATTGAAGCCGCGACGGGCAAGCACAAAGAAATGTCGAATGCAATATTAGCGTGTGTCTATAGGTGTACATTTTATGGTCTAAATGTTGCGCAACAAGCTGCTTTATGATGCTAGTTATAAAGCTCAACACTTCGACATTTCTTTAATTCACCGTCGTCATTTCAACTACCAACTACTCGGAAAAATAATAGTTCATTACAATAAGCGTATTAATAAAAAATAAAAATGTGGAAAATAAAATTAATAATAAACCCCCTTATTAGCGGTTGATAGTTGACATTGGCAAAAGGTGAACTCATACAATTCTGCTAAACAGTTGACTTTTGTTCTATACAAATTAAAAATGTACACTATTAGTAGAGCAATAAGGTTGGTTATTTCCATGTTATATATATGCAGTCAACTTTTTAGCACTCCGTACATTGGCTTCGTTATAAAATTAACAAAATACCTTTACTGAAACTGCCGCGTTGTCTTTACATGTTAGAAAAGCATATTTAGCATTGTTTAGACTTAAGATGTATATCGAGTATTGTTATCTATGTATATCATGCGAGTGTCCAGCGGCGTGTTTCAGTATAGGCTTATTAAATAGGAAATCACTTATACTGAGGATATTATAGTAAGCTGATTGTATCTTACCAGGTGTAAGCAAGGCAATACTGTAGAGTGACTTCTTCCACATTTCGAAAGCAAGTATGTCTCACTATACAAAACTAAAATCATCAAACAAGTTGTATGGCATTAACTGTTCAATACAATTATAAGTTACAGCACAATGACTAGATGATTGATGCGGATGATGACATTGATATACATGTGACACGGTTGATAAGCAACGCGATCGGTTCCTGGACCGTTTTTGTTCGATCGATCAATGTCGCACCGTTTCCAAATCACGTTGTTCTCGTGTATTTATATATATATATTTTATCATATAGCATGTTTTCCAAATGAGGTGTTATAGGAACTTTTTTTATTTCACTAGCAAAACAATACCACAGATTACCATCGGTTATGAGTTCGGGTATATATAGAAAGAAACAAGCTTTTGGTCTCCTTGTACGCGTAACACGTCGACAAAGCACCAAGCGCCGAGTACCATTGCGTAGATCGTTCGGTAATGACCGATTTGTTTAATGTATATTGTTCGTTAATAATAAGCGCTTAGTCTACTAAGCCCGTTCGAAGCATGATGAACTAAGACAAACTAAATGTGTCTACAAGCGCCGTGAGAAGCAAGCTCAAAATATCTGTGTTACTTTCACACGCAAATTACGTTTGATTAGCCTTTATTTTTACTGCAATACTCTAATCATAAAAAAAATATCTATATTGTGATTCATCCAAAATTTCATCTATTGATAATTTTTTACATCAAACGTTAGCATTGCTTTAATTTCTCTAGCACAAAGTCAAATATCTTTTAAATATTTTTTACTGAAATAAGTCTAGTGTCATTATTCAAATGTCCATTCAAAGGATCATCATTTAGGCCTTCATCGATCGAAACCATTCATTCGTTTAATGTGCGTCTGAGCTTGTCAACTGAACATAAAAAGCGGTAGAAGGGGTAAATACGCAGGGAGCAGAGGCGATATGCGTTATCGTGGTGTGCCGGTTAGAGCGAGGCGTGGTCGTGATACCGTGAGGATTGCTAGCGTCGGAATCAAGTATGGATTATTATATCGATGTCGTTAATAAGCGACATGCGCTTGCGCGTGTGTGCGTGCGAGGTGAGTGAAGGGGGTAGAGGCTCACGCGGCACACGTTTACCTGTCCGCGTTCGTCCGTGTAAACCACATATGGCGCGTTGGGAGGCGCGCAGCCTGTCCGTCCCGACACAAAAAGCGACAAAAGATTTGCAATGCGGACGACAGCCGAAGCGGTCATTCGGAAGGCATGTAACAGAAAGCGCGGTCAAAATAAATAAGAAAGAAGTGCGACTGAAAGAATAAGGCGAGCCGACGCACGTCGACGCGCAGCTACTACTGATGACACGCCGGGCACACTTAGCACACACGAGGAGCACTAGAATAATGAGAATAATACCTGATGAGCCAAACGTATAGGGGTGGTGGGGTCTATTCCATGCTAAAATTAGAAGGCGGCTGTGTTAGGTGCGGGCCTGCTGCTGCAAGCCGGTAACCACTAGGTACGGAATCGACACATCGGCCAAAGCGCACCCGTGCGGAGCTCCTCCGAGAACAAGCGTGTACGTAGCGGGATCGACGGACCAAGCGCTCAACTCTCAGTACGACGACGGGTACTCACGATAAACGACGATCGACAAGAGGTAATAAAAAAACGTACAGTCATGCATCTCAAGCGTTATTATTACCGGGATCGTAGATACGAGAAATATACACGCATAGGATAATAACGGTAAGTGAGTAGATACACAATAGAATAGATATAGCGTAAAACTACCGAGACATCCGCGAGGGCGAATCCTCTCGCTTCGTCCTTACAATAATACAATACAAAGTGACAACACGCCTAGCGCTAACCGCCCCGACAGGCCGGGGCGAACACTCGATCGCACACGTACGAGTCTCTACGCGGAGACCCCGCGCCCCGCGCCCCGCCGGCCGCGGTCGCCCGCGCGCGCCCTCTATGTCGTTTTCATTTTCTTGTATGGATTGTGTGCCGCCGCAGCTGCAGCTGCCGCCGCCGCAGCCGCCGCGGGGGGGGTGGGCGGCGGCATCGCGTACATGTACTGCTGCGGGTAGTAAGGCATCGGCATCGGTGGCGCCGGCCAGCCTGGCCGCATCATCAGCGGCGCGCGCATCAGACCTGGCACTTGTGCGGCGCGTGCCTGCGCTTTCAGGGCTTGTTGTGTGTATGCAGCGGCTGCGTGTGCCATCGCGGAGTGTTGCGCCGCGAAAGCGAGTGCCGCCGCGTAATTCTTGTGTGCTACTTCTTTAGCGACGGCCGCGGGATCGGGCGTATGAGAGGCAGGCGTGTGTGTCGTTTCGGGCGGCGGTGAAGCGGATTGTGTTGGCGGCGCGGGCGCGGGCGGCGGTTGTGGTTGCGGTTGCGGTGTGGGCGCGGCCGCGGTGGCGCCGGCCGCGGTCGGCGGGGCGGACGTCGCGGGCGCGGGGTACTCACATGACACGGGCACGAACGGCTGCTGTAGCTGCATCAGCTGCTGGTAGGTCGTCGCCGGCTGATACACGGGCATGCCGGCTTTGTCCGCGGCGGGTCGCTTGTACGGCATCACCCCGGGAAATGCCTATGTAACAAAAAAACAAAACATTAGCGGATGTCGAATGCGCGAGACGAGAGCGAGACGGTTCGACGTACGGAATACTTACGAAGTTATCGTAATAGAAGGATCCGACGCTCTTCATGTCCATCTGAAACGAGAAACAGATGGTTGAGCGGAGGTTTTCGGGCGCGTCGGTAGGGGCGGAATCGCGGGCGGCGCGCGGTAGGGCGGGGGCGGCCCGGCCGCGCGTCGCCCGCGGGATAGGCGCGGGAGGATCGTGCGGGCGGGATAGGGCAGGGCGGTGGTGAAGCGTGCAAAGCGGCGGCTGTACCGGTGGCGGCTCGAGCTCGGCGGGCGCCAGCCGTTTCTTGCCCGGCTCCGAAGTCGCACTCGCTGCTGGCTGCTGGACTGCGGCGGCCGTCTACGTGAAGCGAAGCGTCGCAGGACGGGACAGAAACAATAACGATGTAGTAGATGCACAGAATACACCTAAAGCTCGGCAAAAGGTGATAATTATGCGATAGAAAAAATAAAAATAAAAGTGAAGCGTGAGTGCGACGGAAGCGTGGCGCGAGCCGGTCTGCGCGAACTAAACAGAACAAAGCTCTGCGAACGAAAGCGGCGCCGCGGCGAGCGAGACAAAGCGGAAGAAGAGAAGCGAGCGCGAGCGAGGCGAGAGCGTGCAGCCTGGTGGCGTACCGCGCCGCGCGCCTGCGCCTTAAGGTGCGCCTGCAGGTGCAGAGGAGGGTGGAAATAGCGGCAGGGGTCGCGGACGCAGCGGCCCTTGACGGCGTCCATGCACACCGTGACACAGCCGTCGTCGTGCGCGGCCACGGAGGGCGGCGGGTGCGCGAAGCGACACTCCGGCTCGGCGCGCTTGCACGCGCCGCGCTGGAACTCCCGGCACACCTGCACCGTCACACACAGGCCATGCCGCGCTCGCACCCGCGCCCGCGCCCGCGTCTGCCTACCCGCGAGGCTCTACCACTCTCTCTACGCACACGCTACAGCACGCGCCTCATCTCAACGGATATTCAACTAAAGATCGCGATATTTATTGTTCTATTGAAATTGTTATTAGAATTTTGATAGACTATTACACGATTGTAACTTGCACGGTATTGAGCAAGTTACGACTCGACCCGACGCCGCTTCAATTTATCGAATTTAACATCTCATTTCTTTACGTTTTTATTTTAAAAATAATAATTAATATTTAAGTTTTTTGTATTATACGATTTACGCATCCGTCGCAACGAATTTCAATATTGTTTTATATTATTCATAAAAAAAATTGCACCTAATTTTTGTACTAAAATTTCAGAGTCGGCCGTCACCGAAGATTTGAGGTCGAATTAAGCTTTGGTATGTCAACGCTGTAGGCGCAATTGAAACGCTTGAAATGTTAAAAGTATACAGGTTACGGACAAAGGTTGTCAAGTATATCAATGACACTATTATACTTGCGCCAACAGGTTAAGTTCTTCACCAAAGGGAAAAGCGAGTGCTGCTCACGAAGCGCTCACGCTGGCGCGTTGGACCAGTGCACCCGCGCCACAGACACGGAGACGGGCATAGGCTCCACAACTGAGAGCGCATCAGGGATAGACGCGAACATCGTAAATTTGTTATCCCGTTGATGAATCGATACATATTAGACTCACAATTAGTAAAATACAAAAAACCGAATGTTAAAAGTAAACGATTCGAGTCATCGACAGTATAACCGAGTCAAACAGATATTACTTTTAACTTACTCAAAAATAAATTGACTCTAAAGATTGATGAACGCGCCAGTCCCTGGTGTAGGTAAGTTGCAACATCGGGAAGCACTACTCGGGTATCGCTGGTCAATAGGGGATTAAGGCCAAATGCTCACCTCAAGGCGGTCGGTGCGAGGTAGCTTCTGCTGTAACACCGGCTGTTGCATTACACCGAGCGGCGAAGCGGCAGCGGCGGCGGGGTCGTGCCCCAGTACCGCCGGCACCAGCTGCGGCGCGTAGTACTGCGCGTACGTCGAACCCACACCGGGAACGCCCGACAAGTACGGCGAGGTCGCCTGATGCGCAAACGAATAACATCATTAACATAAACAGTTCCATGCCTTTACTGTTCAACCCACACCATATTGTGCACTAAACTTTCCACAACCATATTTAATCTAGCAAGCAGACATCACAAATTCGAGGAAATGCAAAATTATATTATACATCAAAATTTTAAATTAATTAGGTAAATTATCATTAGTCTTTATTAGTTAGCTAAACAAGCACTCGCATGCATTAATAAGAAAATAGAAAAATTAAAGAAGCATACGCTTTGTCCTGTCTAGCTATCCACCGACCACCTAGGGTAAATGAGGATCGTGGAACGGATTAGTGAGGAAATGTGATTGAAAACAGAGAAGCGTGCTGTAGGATGTGAAAGAAGTGGATAAAGAGGCCGTCGTGGTCGGTGGGGGCGCGACGAGTGGCCGTTACCTGCGGAGTGAGCAGGGCGAGACTGATCGGGTCCAGTGCGGCGAGGTGACCCGCAGCCGCGCCCGCGCCGCTCACGCCGCCCACCTCGACACAGAACCACACAAACACGCTACTCATCGTGCGAGGTACCAGCAGCGGACCTAGTGCCTCGATATCGCTCCTAGCACCTTCAGACTACTACAGACATTTAAGCGCAGCTATGTCAACTTAACTACCCGAAAGCTAAAGAACAGGAAGTAGTGCGAGGAGAGCGTCGAAGAACTAGGCCGCAACGATATCGACATTGTGTACAGTGAGGGAGGACATTTTTCAGTGATTAATCCTACATACCATTTGTACCCCGTTCATACAGTGTGAGTTAGATCGAAAAGAAGACATGCCATTTAGAAACGGTTCGTACAACATGCTAAAGCTGTGAAGAGCGATCGGTCACCAGCGACAGCAGTTTAAATTGTGCCTCCCGATTTTACATAATAATTCATAACAAGTTTGTAAAAAAATTGCTACTCATATATTTTTCCATTATACCCTAACTAATAAAAGTGACCCTTAACAAACCTTTATTTCATTTAATTTGAAGAATAGCTTTGATCTTTAATATTCATTGATAGCCGAAATACATAATCATTGTAATAGGCTTAATAAGGTTGATTTCAAAGCTTACTTCAAAGTTTGTTTTATATTACGGAGAGGCTCAACCTAAACGCGATAAATTTGAAATCTACGTGATTTATAGAGAAAAAACGCTTATACAATACTGAATATAGCGGGTACACCGAAAGCATTTTATTGCGTGCAGAAAGTACCTACAGAGTTGAGGACCGATCGCTCAAAGCCGTTAAGTCAAGTGTTAAGACAGAACTTACCACAGCTGGTACCTGGCCAGGTAATACCTGACCAGGCGTAAGGCCCATCTGCTGCATTAGTGCGTTCTTCAGTGCTAGGTGATTTCTACCGTTGATCAGCAGCTGGTCCTTCAGGTGCTGCGGAGGGTGAAAGTACTTGCAAGGTGGTTTCTCACGGTTACACCGACCCTGAAATACACAATAGTTAAATGTTACAAAATACAATACATTTCTAAACAAAAAGTGAGTAAAATCTATAACATTACTAAAATTTAAAGGGAGGACTTTAACTTTTCGAATTTTCGATATAAACGTTAGGGCTTATAATAGACGGTTTTCATAGATATATTTAAACGGACGTATGTGTAAGAGATAAGAAACCGTATTCCAGGTAGGCGATATTCTGTGGGTTTTGAACATAGACGAAAATGGCGGACCTCATTCGATATCACTCCGATAAGCAATATGTGTCGGGGAGGTGCGCGACGGCCGCAGTTCGGCTCAATATCAGACGAATGTGCGGAAATCCCTCCATGCATCACAATTGCGGTGAGCCGGGCACGTAGCCACCAGAAATCCTCCACTCGATTTTTCCTTATATTAGAGTCTTAGGCGGTGTCAAATATTTCTGAGGCGTGTCGAGAGTAGCGCGTTCTTTCCTCTACTCATTTTCGCCGCCAATGAGGCGAGAGATAATTGCCTTTCGGTATCGGAGCTTCTCTCTGGTGCCGCACCCGTCTATGATGATTTATTTACATCCGCGTAATTAACTGTCGCACTACGTGACGGGAAGAGCCCCGCGGACGCTTTATCGTCGCAAGCCGAGCCTCTAGTGTAATATTTTATTCAGTGAAAAAACGGAAAAGCGCTTATCGCCGTTTCAAAGAAATACGTATACAAACAAACGCCATCTGAATATTCAGTGCTACACTTGGGGACGCGCCTACTGATAATGTCCGCGGAACGGCTCCCCGGTGATTTATAGACTAACTTTTTCTAAGTACGCCTCACGGATAAGAATCAAAATAGTTTATTTAAGCGCACAACATAGTACTACAACAAGTACTATAAGAATCTATAAGGTAACTTTAAATACAATATTTAAACTGATCTTTAGCTATGGGTTATTATATCAAACGCAGTGTTCCAAATTTCTCAGTTATCTATTAAACTTGTGCGTTGCGTGCTACAACTAACAAGTGAAAATAGCCGGCTGCATTTAGATTAACTTGTTACTAGCAGGCATAATGTTAGTCCGACGGTCTTCTCGCAGTTTAAGCTGGGGATAAAGTTATTATTTCCTGTTACTCGACGCCGTCTACTTTAGCGGAGTTTCGATTCGTATCAACCCGTTTATAGAACTTGAATGGGTGATCACGTTTTCATCATAACTATAATAACTCGGTTGGGTCTATCAAACTCGGATTTATTAACGGGGACTAGAACATGTTTGACTATTATAAACTTATAGATGAGTGACGAAGTCCTTTCGATACTGATTAATTGAGTATTGATAAACTTAACCTATTATTCCAGATTTAATTTTGAAGTATTAATGATAAAAAAGAAGATAGATAATTTACACATAATTTTATGTAACATAATTTATTGCAGATGTAAATGTTTGTTACGTTTCGCGTTATAATTAGTAGTCAACATTTGGCGTCGAATGTCACAAGTGGAAAGTCCGATGCAGGTATATCGCACCGATTAGTCTGACGAATGCCCGTGCTGATACAAATGGCCGCGTCGCCTCAGACGGATGGCGCGCCGGCCTGAACCAGGCACACACATTGCCATACATTAATTGCTGTTCGATCACCTCTATCATTATCGTACTACGTATACCTTTCAAAAATATATCTCGGATGTTATTTTTTTTTCATTACATTTCTACAAATCTTTATACTTTTCCCCAAGTACAAAAAGAAGCAATGAATAGAATACCGATTGGAACGAGCCGACATTACTTATCTGGACAATTTGGCAGATATTCGTGTTAGGCCGGCGGGATTAAAATAAAATCTTTCAATATGCCCTATTTGTTTGGGAGAGCCAACTCGAGGGTCGAATACCGGGGGTGGGAAATAACCGCCGAAAACTAATAAGACTTTTGTGATAGCAGAATAGCAAATCGAGTGTTTCCTTCGTAGTGTCCTTTATGACGCAACAATATGCATTTGCATCACAAATAGCGTATTGATCTGGAGTTGATACTGTTATTTCTCGTTTCAAATAAAGATCGTTTAAAAAATATTATGTTGTAAAAACAATTAAGGGTACAAAGTATAGGCGGAATACGCAGTGGGAATTGCACATAGCGTAAGTTGGCAGGCGGCCGATTAAGGCAAAAATGACATCAATGAACAGAGACGGGCGTGTCTCGTTACGGCGAGTGCAGCGAGCGCCGAGTGCTCTTTGCTTCGTGACGTGTATAACGAACAACCCTCGAGAAGCGGCGACTGTCGCCAGTAGGCAAGCGGCACGCCTCGTTTTACTCGAAATATTATTAAAATAACACCGCGCCAAAAACGTTTTGTCGGTTCGTTATCATCACATCATTTTATTCATCGATGATGATGTACTTCTTGATTTTTCTAAAAAAAGTAAGAGCAAGCTGTTCTTATGCCGAGGCATCTTTTTTATAGTAGCATAGTTTATTCATACTTAATACATATATTACTTTTATGTAATTCAATTCGCATATATATCAGCATATCAAGTCGCACGTACTGACGTAAGTTTTCACCCTTGTTTATTAATCTTTCTAACTTTTAATCGTCAATATGTAATAGTTTTAAATCGCGTCAGTTTTATCATTTTAGTTCTAACCCGAACATTAGTTCTTCGTGTCGGATAAACATATTAAATCAACATATTTAATGCCTAAGTCAAATATTTTACAAGCACATTAATGCACGCAGTTAGAATTCTAATTGGAATTACAGTAGACACTTAGGAAGCGCAAAGAATGCGAGACGTGTAGATAGATCTATCAGAGTATTCATTCGATCACGATTGATGGATCGGCGACACGCTGTCGGCAGAGCGTGGCCGGGCGCACGCGCACGCATTCGTCTATTTTACTATTGGACACGCGTCGCGACAAATCGGCACTAGAGGAATACAATGAGATAACGAGCCGATGAATGACATGCTCCCGTCACGATAACCGTAGTTACTCATGGACCAAGTGCCAAAAATATTTGTTTAACAGGGACAGACGGGAATAGATCGGCTCGAGATACGTGCCAACTTCGGCATACCGTTAGTAAGAACCACCTTCATGGGAACGCCTCTTTATAATTTAATATCGTAATAAATCAATTTTAATTTAATAAGAATGCTATAATGATTTTATAACGTTGCAATGGTCTCATTATTATTTTTGCTGTTGGTTGATATATTTTATAACTGCTATCTATGAAAGGAACAGCACTTTGACTTGATAATATTTAAGATAAACATCAACATTTTGCTGAATATGCTACAAATGAGGTCATGGCTTAGATTTACCGTCCTGAGAGCGACTCGATACCATAACACGGCATTATTCGGAACCGGATATTTTCCTTGAACCAAAGCTGGGGAAATATTAAATTCGGCAAATTTGTGGCAGTGAAGAGAATTAGGCACACGAAGTCGATTCTAAAGTAAGTAGAATTTGAATTTAAAATGATTTATAGAGGCGCAGGGGAGTGGCTAATGAGCCGTCATGCGAGAGGGGCGCGCGTGTTTACCGCGTTTTTTTGCCAAATCTGGGCGGCGCCGACTCTTGTGCTGTTGACGTAACGTGCGACATTATACAAAGTTTATCATGGATACTATACTGATTTTTTTTCTAGTCCAAGAGTGATAAACAAATATCAACAGTATTTATCAAAAAAAAAAGGAATTAAGGGTTTTTTTTTAGACATAATCGAAACCCTGAATCAAAACTGAACGATGCTATTATGTCTATCAAAGTCCTACTTTAATTACTAAGACATCTCATATTGAGGAAAACTTAAAGAAAAAATCTTGCACTAAAAATTATTCACTTCGCTGAAGTTTGAGAGTCCCAACAAGTTTGCATCGCGGCACCCCCGCAGCTTAACGTTAAAATATGCATTCATGTGAGAGTTTGTCTCGAGCATTTTAGCCGGCGGCGGCGGCTGGTCACTTGTTTATCCCAGCTCTGCCTTATTAGCTGCATAGAAAAACTAATAACCCAAGTACCGGGTGTAGGTATTTGTGTTCGGGTTACTGCTACTGACTATGGTAATTCGTTTCTGGTTAAGTGAGGAATTTGCATTAACTATGATCAAAACTTTTCGAGACCACGCTTCATTTATGTTCAAGAAGGAATTCTACCTTGATTCCTTGAATTGAATTTTTCTTAACTATGTTGGGCTTTTAGTTTGTGGCAAACGTTCCGTAACGTGTTAAGCAAGTCCAGCGGGCGATATAGCAGCGCGAACCGCAAGGTGTTAGATTAATGCAACGAGAGCTAGCACGACCTCTCCAGGTGTTTCATTAAATTGCGCACGGTGCCTCCGCCGGCTCGTACGGCCATTATGAAAGCTACAAGCTTGAGGGCTATTCGCTTTAAGAACGCCCCGCGCCACTTTGTAACGGCCTTAATGAATCTTGTTACTTATAGGCTCGCGTAAATTGCCTGTTTTACTAACGCTCCCTGGGGCGCAAAATCATTAGGTCAGTGAACGTTCGCGCACGGAATGCTTTCTATGTTTTTGCAACTCGTCTGAGAGTGGTTCTCCCCTTCGGTGAACTAAATAGTTCATTAAGAGTTAAATCAGAGTCACGAAATGGTTCAGGGTGAAAGGATGATTATTGGTATTGTTCGATACTATTGAAAAAGTGAAGTGAAGCAAATATTTAACTGAACGAAGCCTTGAAATCAATCGTTTTCTTGTGGCTCTCAGTTTGCTGTCGGCGGTCATGTGGATAATGTAAAGTTTGTAATCGAGCAGCGCTTTAATCAACGCTGTGTAGATAATATAGGACGTAACTGTTTAAACACGTGTGTGCAGTTCACATGCAATCTGGTGTAAGGTAGCCGAGTGCTGTGTAATGTGAAATGATATGGAGTGATTTTACTCGACTAGCACCTACCGGCATGGCTAACAAGTTTAGTCAAGCTCTTGCAGTAATTAGTCTTAAGCATCTCACGGAGCACCGTCACTTCG